AAAAAAAAAAAAAAAAAAAAAAAAAAAAAAAAAAAAGACTAATGGCTTTTGCTGACTACTAAAAAACAATTAATATTGGAACTCTTAATTTAATATAAACATTATATATATACTTGTGCAAATGTCAAAAGTATGATCTTGTATCCTAATTAAAAGAACAAAAGTGTTTTCTACAGAAGAAAAAAAGAAAAGATATAGTACCATTAATGCTTGATTTTCCTTGTTTGCATTAAATGGTTTGTGAGTTTTCCAGAGAATATTTAAATGCTATGCTCTCATATTAAGAAATTTGAATAAGAAGGAAGGTAATAAAGAGCTGTAAGATATGTGCATCCCTAAATTTGGTATAAATAATTTTAACTAATTTTTCTATTACAATAAATTCCAAAATGTTTTCCAACAATTTCTCCACTTTTAATATTTGTAGTTATAAATCACCATTCATTAGTAGTTCTTCCAAGTTATCAGGATTTCGAGCAAGCTGCAGGATCAAAGCAGAACCCCGAACCTTGTCAGGAATATCTTCATACAGTAACTCAATATATTCATCCATGTCATTAATGTTAGCAACTTCATCAATCTGAAAAAAAGGAAGAGGAAAGAAGTACTCAGCAACAATGCCTGACAGATCCACTTTCAAAGAAATGATATTTTGTGATTAATATACTGTCCTTTATAACAAGAGACAAATTTCCAAAGAACTCATAGTAGCTATCTTTTTGTAGAGGGGGATTTTAGGCCTTTGGTTACTAGGACTCCAAGACAGAAGTATAAACCACATACGATAAAGTGGGATGTATACAACCTCTAAAATTTGCCTATCAATATAAATGATCTTAAATGTAATAAAAAGTAATTCATATCTACTACAACAAATTAAACAATATTTCAAAACATATTGTAATAAGAATATTTGAAACATTTTTACACTTACTTATCAAAATAAATTATGTCTACAAAGCAAAACCAATAATTTTTGTCTTTATCCATTAAATACTAATTTTCTACCATTTTCAGGTACCTCTAAGCTCAACCATTTAAAAAAATTCCACATTTGATTAGTATGATTGTTTGCATTATTAATGGTAAAAGGCAACACCTTATCATCAGTCCTCTATTAGATCAATATACATACAGTCTTACCTCCATTCCTTCAAAAGGAGGTGGATCTCTAGGCTTGCTTGATTTTTCTTTTTTTTCTGTAAAAAGATTTTTTTTAATGAGGAGAATTAGGTTTTTAGGATTTGGGGGTAATTTTTATTTTCAGCAGCTGAGTTTAATTCTACCTAAAGTGGGGATATTAAAACTAGTTTCTGAAATAATCTACATTTTTTCAGTGCACAAAACATGCTCATCTATAATCCATCTATTCTTTGAGGATATCAAAGAGAGTATAAATTAATAAAATCTATAGCTAATTCCTAGGTAGTTAGGCAGCAATTTTAACTTCCTCCCTTGTTAAAATTTAGGGTTTGTATATAGTCAGACTTGCCAACAAGAAGCAAAATAGTCTAGTATCCTCACTTTCCCTTCCTAATTCAAATTTAAGGTAGCAATAGGTAAATCAATAAATCAAAGAAAAAGATAAAACTTAATATAAAAAACTAAAACAAAAATCAAGAGAGGAAAAGGAAAAGAAATGAATTGGGTAAACTTAAAAGCTAAAATAAAGAGGTGTTGTTAATTGATTTTTTTTAACAAGTAAAATTAAGATCATAAATTAAAAGGCAAACATTCAATATTTGTGTTTATTCCTAAATTATTTCCAAATAAATTAAAGAGGTATCCAAAGGTGTTAAATATAAACATTGAATCATTTATTATATTGAATTATTTAATAGTGTAATTTCATTTTTTAACAAAAAAACTAACAAAAATATCTTAGTGATATAGATCAAAAACCTAAGCAATTCATTTTCATTAAAGTAAGTTAGAATAGTATCAAAATTTGGATTCTATAGTTAGAAAATATACGTATAAAAGAATTAGCCCCTATTCTTTTCAGAGGACAGCAGCCATTCTATATAAGGTCTAATTCTCATGGCTAAATTTTGCCTCAAACAGATCATTTACTATGACAGTGGTTTTAATTAAGTAAAGAGAAAAATCACTTAAGGTAATGAATCACATAATCAAATAAGTATTATTGTTTTGTTTCAGTAACTTTTAGGGCAAAGATTTTGGCTTCAAAATTTTGAATACCAAGTTAAATAGTTAAGAAAGAAAAATTGAATAGTTTTTCAAAATAAGAATATTTAATAGTAAAGCATTTCATATATGTCTTCAACAATTAATATCTAAATAGGGAAAAATACTGATTTGAATTATTTTATCCATGTATGTGACACAAAAATTTTTCCACATTCCTCTAATTTCTGGGGAGGGAGGTAAAAACACTGATTTGCCCTGAGAACTCAGTGAAACGCTTTTCACAAATTTAAGGGCATTTTATTATAACTGCTTTCAGAATTATATTAATTTGGCAGTAGGAAAGATCAATTTTAGCTGTGTTATACAACCGACGATAAGCACATAAAGATCTTAGAAGAGGCAGGGGGGAAGAGGAATGGGTAAAGAGTCATGAAAATCAACTACAATGTATATTGAGAAGTTAAAATTTTTTTAAAAAAATAAATAAAAATAAAAAAATAAATAAATGAGACTACTGAATTTACTTTGCTCATTTTGAATTTATTTGAAGATGTTATCTCTCATCATTTATTGAGATCTTAACAAGAATATTCTATCATAAAATACTTGTTTAATAAAAATTTTCTTGATATTTTCCTTATCTAGATAGCTCTGATTATTAATAATTAACAAGTATACACTGAGTACCAGCTATGTAATAATTAGAAGCAATCAAGTTTATTTTTTTATTTTTATTATTATTATTTTTTGACCGGTAAGGGGATCGCAACCCTCAGCTCAGTGTGGTCTGCACCACACTCAGCCAGTGAGCGCACCAGCCATCCCTATATAGGATCCGAACCCGCAACATCGGCACCACTAGTGCCGCACTCTCCCGAGTGAGCCACGGGGCTGACCCAAAGCAATCAAGTTTAAAATGCCTGTTTTTGCTTTTAAATAAATTACAACCATTCAATTTATTTAACAAATATGCATTGATCATATAATATGAGGGTACTTCAAAAAGTTCATGAAAAAATGGAATTAAAAGATGATATGAATATATGAACTTTCTGAAGACCCCTCATATGTGTTAGATACTATATTCAGAGCCAGCTAATAAAAGTAAATATTAGGCACAAGGCATTTTATTTTCCATGGACGGAGAGAAAAGACTGATTTAACTTGAAAAAATTCCAAACAAAATTTTTGGTCATTTTTTTTTTACTTAGTCTGATGAAAACTTGAGCATTGGCTGATACATCATTTTAAGAGCACCATATTTTAGAACTAACCAATGTTGAAAGATATGAAAACTTAGTAAATACTGTGAAATGGGTTAACTAAGCACTCAGTAATCTGAGATGACTTTCCACTTAAATATCTGTTTTTGTTTTGTTTTTCTGGTTAAGATTATTTGAAAATGTCTTCAATAAACAATTATTTTATTAACTCTAATACCTTAATGGCTTGGCTCTTTTATGAAGGAACTGAGGACAGGAGAATGGCAACAATAGAGACATCAAGGAATAAAAAAGTAATATTTTCCTAAGAAAGATTTATAAAAGTTATATGTTTAGGATAGTCTAAAGTATATGATATATATTTTTAACATTAAATAATCCATTCAAATTATAAATTAAATATTAATAAAAATTTTAGAAAATATGTCTAGTTGGAGCAGAGAAAATGTTTTCTGCCCCAAATTCTCTTTCAATATTTTAGAATCAAAATGACAGACATTTCCTTCTTTGTTCCTTACTTCAGTGTATGTGTACATGCACACATACAAAATCAGAATCAGAACCTGATTCAGAATCAGACCATTTTATGTGGAAGAATCTAATATAAAGCCTGGCATGAAGGAAACTAATATGTTTGTTTATTCTTTCATTCACTTAGTCATTCACAGCACTGGTGAAAAAACCCTGCCCAATACTCAAATATCAAAAATACAAACTAGTGAAATAACTCTGATTGTGCATGAAAATCTCAGGCATTCTACTTACCTTTTCCAGACAATGAATCACGGCGGTTCTGTAGATAGTACAACAACTGTTCTACCTCATTTAGTTTTGAGGGATGTATGAGTTTACATTCTTCAACCACCTTCCGTGCCAGGGAAGTTATATCTGTGTTGGCATTGAGACTCTTAAGACGAATACTGCAAGTATAATCAGAATTTTTCAACTGAAGTACTATAAAAGTGATACCTTCAACAATATTACTTTAAAATAATTTATAGATTACAAATTATTACAGTCTATATTACCTGGCCATAGATGCTTAATGAAATGAACTAAAGTATTAGATATAATTAGGCTTAGAAAAACATAAGGCAATGATTTTTCTTTGAGCTAAACAAACGATAAAAAGAACAGAAAATCTTTTTCTGACTCTCTAGGCAAGACAGCACATTCAAAGGTCCTGTTTTAAAACAGTAATTCTCATGTAAAATATATGAAGTCTTTAGTGATTATTAAATGTGAGAATCTATATTGCCACAAATAAATCGTTTTCTTAACCATATCCACAATTGGTGATTTTTTTTTCAGTTGGGGACAAGATACAACATATTGATATTTTCATTCAGTTGCTCTAGTGGTAATTGTACAGAAGATAGGAGAAGGAAAAAAAAGCAAAATGTAGTTTAAGACCTATATGAGGAATTCTGAGGAACAAATTAATACACTTTATACTTAGGTTAGTACATTAAAAAACAATAATAAACCAACCAGTCCCTCCTTTTTAATTTAACCCAGGAGATTCACTGGGAGCTTGATAAGGAAAGACTGTTCAGAGTCTGGAAACAATTGCCTATTTATATGGATTTATGGCACTAGGGAGAGCTGTGAAGACATAAAATTAGGTTCAGAGTCAAGAGTCAAACTGGTGACAAAAGACTCTGTCAAGCAGATTGCTCCCATGCAAGGCTTATATTCAAAAAGAGAAATACAAGCAGCCACTGTGTAGAAATATTTCTTGCTGAAGATGCCTAATTTTTGTTGGGAGACATCCAGGTATTAGAGGGAACAGGAGGAGATCTCAGAGAAATGTCTTGTACCCAGCATCTGTGAAATTATTCAGATGTAGATGATCTCTCCTGAAACCAGTCCAGTAGATTGATTCAGATATTATTCCCAGCTATATAGTCAACCCCAAATCTGGTTCTCCCAGGATTCTACGAGCCACCTAATAGCTTTTAATAAATTCCTTTAATGCTTAAATTAGCTAGAGTGACTTCTAATATTTGTAACAAGAACTCGAGCAATATTCTGTCACCTTATTTTATTTTTACTTGAATCTATTTTTGTTGTTGTTGTTGTTGTTCCCACCTTTTAATGCTTCTAAATTGTTGATTATATTTTTGTATAGTTTTGGCTGCACATCAGAAGGCAGAATTAGAAAGAAGGGTCTGTTCAGAGAAAAACTCTAAAAAGACCTCTCCAAGCTTAGTTTTTAATAAGGAACTGGGAAATCTTGATAGTTCAAAAAAATCTGATTGAGTAGAGGCACAATAGAAACTCTATCAACATATATTGTTAAAAAAATTTAGGCTTTTTTTAGAGCAGTCTTAGGTTTACAGAAAAATTGTGCAGAAGGCACCCCCTATATACCTCCCTACCGTTTCTCCTATTTTCACCATCTTGCGTTAGTGTGATACATTTGTTACAATTGATAAACCAACATTTGTACATATAATTATTAACTAAGTCCATAGTTCACATAAGGGTTCACTCAGTGCTATATAGTTCTGAGAGTTTTTACAAATGCATAATGTAATATCATACAGAACAGTTTTACTGTCCTAAAAATGCTCTGTCCTGTGATCTGCCTCTTTCTCCCCCTGAACCCCTGGCAACCTCTAATCTTTTTACTGCATCTATAGTTCAGCCTTACAAGAATGTCATATACTTGGAATCATATAGTATATAGCTTTTCTAGGCTGGCTTCTTTCACTTAGCAATATGGATTTAGGTTCCTCTGTGTCTTTTCATAGCTTGATAGTTCATTTCTTTTTGTCACTGAATGATACTTAATTGTATGGATGCACCACAGTTTGCATATCCATTCACCTATGGAAAGACATCTTGTTTGCTTCCAACTGTGAATAAAGCTGCTATAAACACTCATGTGCAGGTTTTTGTGTGGACATGTTTTCAATTGACTTGGGTAAATATCTAGGAGCACAATGCTGGATCACACGGTAAGCCTATGTTTAACTTTTTTTTTTTTGTTATTGGTTATGAATATTCATGGGGTACAAAGCTGATTATCACCACTCATCCCCAAGATGTGATGGCCAGAACCATACTGGCAGCATACCCATTACCACAAATTGCAATTATACCCCATGTCCCCCACCCAATTATCCCCAGCCTCCTTCCTCATCTCCCTTTCCCCCACTCCAATTTGTATCCCTAGGTATGCTCTCTCCCTCTGCAAGTCCAACGCATCACTGTGGTCTTTCTTTCCTTACTTCTCTCTTAGCTCCCACCTATGAGTGAAGATGTGTGGTATTTTTCCCTCTGTGCTTTGTTTATTTCACTCAACATAAGTTTCTTCAAGCTCATCCATGTTGTTGCAAATGGCAGAATTTCATTCTTTTTTATGGCAGAGTAGTATTCCATGGTGTATATATACCATGGTTTCCTTATCCAATCATCCACTGATGGACATTTAGGTTAGTTCCATATCTTGGCTATTGTGAATACAGCTGTGATGAACATGGGAGTGCAGGTATCCCTTTGACAGGATGATTTCCATTCCTTTGGGTATAAACCCAGAAGTGGGATTGCTGGATCATATGGAAGATCTATCTGTACTTGAAACCTCCATACTGTTTTCCATAGTAGTTGAACTAATTTATAGTCCCACCAACAGTGTGGGAGCGTTCCCTTCTCTCCACATCCTCACCAGCATTTGTTATTCTCCATATTTTTGAGTATAGCCAGTCTAATTGGGGTGAGGTAGTATCTCAATGTGGTTTTAATTTGCATTACACTGATGACTAGTGATGTTGAGCCTTTTTTCATGTACTTGTTGGCCATTTGTATGTCTCCTTTGAAAAATGTTTATTGAGCTCCTTTGCCCATTTTTTACCTGGGTTATTTGTATTTTTACTTTGTAATTGCCTGAGTTCCTTGTATATTATGGATTTTAATCCCTTGTTGGATGCATAGTTAGCAAAAATTTTCTCCCACTCTGCAGGTTGTCGTTTCACTCTATTGATTGTTTCCTTTGCTGTGAAGAAGGTTTTGAGTTTGATATAGTTTCATTTGTTTATTTTTTCTTTTGTTGCTTGTGCTTTTGGGTTCATGTTCAAAAAGTCTGTGCCCAGACCTAGTTCCTGAAGCGTTTCACCTATATTTTCCCTTAGTAATTTTACAGTTTCAGGTCTTATACTTAAGTCTTTAATCCATTCTAAGTTGATTTTGGAATATGGTGAGAGGTATGGGTCTAGTTTCATTCTTCTGTATATGGATATCCAATTTTCCCAGTATCACTTATTAAAGAGGCAGACGGTCTTTTCCTTGATGTAGGTTTTTGTTGCCTTTGTCAAATATCAGATGTCTGTAAGCCTGAAAGGTGATTTCTAGGTTTTCTATTCTGCTCCACTGGCCCGAGTGTCTATATTTATGCCAGTACCATGCTGTTTTGGTAACTATAGCTTTGTAGTATAATTTGAAGTCAGGTACTGTTATGCCTCTGGCTTTACTTTCTTTTTTTGCTCTGGACTGCTTTAGCTATTAAGGGTCTTTTGCTGTCCCATGTGAAAGTTAAGATTGTTTTTTCTATTTCTGTGAAGAATGTCATTGGTATTTTGATGGGGATGGCATTGAATNAATTTTAGTTCACTTTTCCCATCTGGATGCCCTTTATCTCTTTCTCTTGCCTGCTTGCTCTGGCTAGTACCTCCAGTACTATTTTAAATAGAAGTGGTGAGAGTGGGCATCCTTGTCCCGTTCCTGTTCTTAAGGGAAAAGCCTTCAGTATTTCCCCCTTCAGAATGATACTGGCTGTGGGCTTGTATAGATGGCTTTTATTGTGTTGAGATACTTTCCTTCTATACCTAATTTGTTGAGAGTCTTTATCATAAAGGGATGCTGGATTTTGTAAAATGCTTTTTCAGTGTCTACTGAGATAATCATATGGTTTTTGTCCTTGATTTTGTTGATGTGATGTATCACATTTATTGACTTTCATATATTGAACCATCCTTGCATCCCTGGGATGAATCCCACTTTATCATGGTGTACCATTTTTTAGATGTGTTTCTGTATTCTGACTGCTAATATTTTGTTGAGGATTTTTGCATCTATGTTCATCAAGGACATTGTCCTGTGATTTTCTTTTTCTGTTGTGTCTTTGTCTGGTTTTGGTATCAGAGTTATGTTGGATTCATAGAATAAGTTTGGGAGAATGGCTTCTGTTTCAATTTTTTGGAATAGTCTGAGGAGAACTGGTACTAATTCCTCTTTAAAGGTTTGATAGATTCAGCTGTAAAGCCATCTGGACCTGGGCTTTTCTTTGTTGGAAGATTGCTGATTACCTCTTCAATCTTGTTGCTTGTTATTGGTCTGTTCAGATTTTCTGTCTGTTCTTGGTTCAGTCTGAGTAGTTTGTATGTGTCCATAAACTTATCCATATCTTCCAGGTTTTCATATTTGTTGTCATATATTTGTTTATAATAGTCTCTAATGATTCTTTGTATTTCCGTGGTTTCAGTTGTAATGTCTCCCTTTTCATTTCTGATTTTTTTATTTGGGTCTTCTCTCTTCTTCTTCTTCTTCTTTTTTTTTTTTTTTTTTTTT